GACAGACAGCTGTGGAGGGAGGGACACCTGGCCGGGCTCAGGAACCCGCTGCACCCTCCCGCCATCAGTCTGTGCTGGTGTGTTGGGCTCGGAGGGTGGAGGCTTCCTCCTAGTTGTCATGGAAACGACAGCAAGTCTACTGAGTGTCTGGGTACTACGCTCAGGCTCAGCGGAGCAGAGGGAGGGGAGCGGCCGCCCTGGGTGGCAGCTGCTGTCACACTCCCAGCAGCTCAGCAACAGAAAGGACCCGGGGGCTGCCGTGCGCGGAGCCCCGCGGCCTCCCTGTGGGTGGCTGACCACGGCCACACGCGGCCTCTTGTCCACCGGCTTATGTGATTCCATCCAAGCACACGGCCCTGCCCTTCCACGGGGGACGCGCTTCCCGGGCGGTGGGGGTGGGGGTGGAGCGACAGATCCTCCAGGCGACCAGGAGCTGGAGCTGCCTGGGGAGGCCGAGCTCCCAGCTCCGAGCTCCCAGCTCAGCTCCGATTGAGCGGTCCCTGCAGGCGGAGAGATGACTCAGGCGCCTCCTGCCGCCCCCTCCCCCGGCCGGGCCTCTGAGGGAAGCACAGCCATGCCGGCTGGCTGCATGGTGTGTGTCTGTCTGTCTGTCTGCCCATCTCTGTCGCCTCTCAGCCTCCATGGGCATTGGAAGCTCCTTGAGGACGGGGGAGACCGAAGCAGGGGGGCAGCCACGGTCTCCAGGCCCCGGCCAGGCAGGAGGCGGCACAGGGAGACCAGGAAACCTCAGGCCCGAGGCAGGACCAGCTGTGATCCAGAAAACGGGAGGCGGCTGTCAGAGGGGCTTCTTAGAAATGGGGGGTGTCGGGGTGAATGTGGGGGATCCGCGGGACGGTGGGAGCCTGCGCAGTGCCCGCCGCCACGGACGCCAGACTGCTCCAGGTCCCTGGGAGTCGTGGCTCAGGAGAGGAAGTGGCAGACTGGGGGGCATTGCAGTTTGGAGGTAGACTGAGGTCTGGTGCCCCGGCTTCTGCACACACACAGGGCAGACAGGTATCTCCACCCCCCCCCACCGCAACCTAACTACGGCCCTAACCTGGTCCCTAACAGCCCCCTGCGGGGGGGGGGCGGGCTGTCGAAACCCAAGTTCTGTTGTTTCCAACCAGAGGCCTGCGATCGGGGCAGCAGAGAAGCCACAGGAAGTGGCCTGGCTCGGGGCCCAGGGTCGCGTCCTCAGGCGGTTTCGTCTCAGTGGGACCCCTGCCCCCGGCACAAGCCAGGATCTTGCTCCTCCGAGCTCCCCTGGGACACGGGGACCCCGAAAGGGAAATGAACCCCAGAGGGACGGGGACCCTCGCTGGGCTGGCTGCCTGGGGAAGCACAGGGCTGTGCGCCTGCGGCCTGGACAAGCCTGGCCTCTCCCCCTCGG